GGGGGGGTGTGATGAGAGTATCAATTTAGTTTTACTTACGAACGAAAAACCTAAGATAATTTTGTCATTGTGACTTTGGGCGCACAGCATTATGCATATCACGCATGCGTTCTCCTCCAGAAAGGAAGTGCTGAAACTGTTACCTCTTGCTCATTTCGTAACTTTAATTAATACATTTTCATTCATCCATTCAATTTTTTTAAAATGAAAATGAACTGATTTTTACACCTCTTAGACAGTCTCATAGCAAGAGAAATGCGCCGCTTCCTCCGACAGATTTTTTGTCTTTCCATCGGAAGGACCGGAATTGTTCTTACTGCTCCTTTGAAACCGGCAAAATTATTATGCAAAGTCCATTTTAAAATTATATCATGGATGCGCATTATTGGCTGCTGGTCAATAAGGATAAAAATAAATATGCTGAGGAGAAGCTTCTGACAGCTCAATCGAAGGAGCATTATTCGGATTTCGCAAATTCCTTCCGGCAAATCTGAGCTCATCCTTTTTGTAACTCTTGATTTATTTTTCATATTGTATCATTTCGAATATTATCTGATCCACCTTAACGTAATATTCCGCTTACGTTTGTGCAAAGCGACTCTTGCGCTAAGTTTCTCAGCCACCATCCATGATTTTAGTACTGATTCATAAGTGCACAGTGAAAAAAAGTAACCTGCATTTTGTGTTAATATGGTAAAAACTAAACGTGCGGTTAAAATTTTTGTATTAGTTTTTACATGGGTTACATAGATCAAAAATGTTAGGGTTGAAAATTTGGTGCTTAAGGTATTGTATCATGAGAACGACACTTTTCAGGAGCCATGAGTAAAATTCAGCAGTAAAATTTCAATGACGAGCCATTGCAATAAATACGAAGCACAAAAGAAAAGATTCTATGATTTTGTAGTTTGTCAAAATGATAGAAGTTTCATTTTCCTATTTTGAATTTTTTTTGTAGTGGTAAATCATTGTAATCCCTCGAAATGATTTATTTCCAGAGACATATTTTCTATTGAGGATTATTATTAATTGTCTTTTCCATGATGCTATGTCTGAGAGCTCCTTGACAAGGCATTCGCATCAAATCGTGGGTCGCGGTACCAAT